AGTAAAAGAGCTGCACAGCGGTATAGTGATAACGTTTGCGTTAAAAGCTATAGAATAGATTGGAGTAAAAAATAAAAATACTGTTGATCTGATACTTTTTGCGAACTATCTAGTTCTGTCAGCTCACGTAAATGCGAAGTAAGATATACATGCTGTGTTAAGATACTTCGTTAGCGACGATGCGTGATCTAACCGCTACGAATCGGCTAACATTTAGATTTAGAAGGTTTCGTCGCGTGGTTGGTGATCTTATAAGCACTAGCTGGAAGGTTATCTCATTATATCTTATCCGTTGTTTTCAACAGACAAGCTTAGCAACATCAAAAGAGCTTAAATTGCACGCGAGCTTACGAGCAATAGCATGCTTTGCATGCGCGAAACGTACAACTCTGAAGAAAGACTTGGAGACTATTGGTGTTCAGTATATTTTCGATCGATTGATCATAAATGCGTGACGAATAAGAACGAATCGATAAGATTAATCAATTCAACGTAGAACGTTACATGTTACATGGGACAGACGTGATAGTGAAATCTCAGCGAACATTAATCCGAGAACTTGGATGACTGGGATGGACCGAACTGCTGCTCGTAGCGAGAGGAAAATAAGAGCGATGAGCAGGAGGGGAAATACGAGAAGGGAAAGAGAGGGGAAGAGAGAAAGAGAACGGGTGTCGCAGATAAAGACTTCGAAAGAGCCGGTCGCTTATCTGTAAAGACCGACATCCGCCGGATCAGCCCCAGATACCAAAACCACCCACACTTTCCTTCTGGTGCACACGCTTAGGCTAAGTTCCGAGGACGGAAGCAGCCGACTTCCAGGGATCGTGAATTCCGCCGCCTGCCGCACAGTTGGGCAGATATTCCGGCACAATTCACTTCTTTCGACGTGCAAACTGCAAATTGGATTTTTCGACCGTGGACACAGAACTGGCGCAGGTCGACCCAGAAGAATAGTATTATTCGGACGATTTAAACGTGGCTTCGTAACCTGATTCGATTTCGAGAGATTAAGTCGAGTCGTCTTGGATTACCGAGTCATCAAGACGCAGAAGAAACCTTAAGACTAACGGTCTTGGATGCACTGAGTTTTGCGCTCATTCAGTCGTGGTATTTCAGATGAAGATGTCAGACAAGCGATAATTTTCTTATATCCTTTAACAACTTATACATCCTTTATCTCGGTAAGCACGAGTGCAACTCTGTTTATTAAAGTAGCTGATGTATGTAATGCATAGATTGTACCTAACTTAAAAATACTTGAAAATATTTATTATGTTACATAACGTTACGTAATTTACTCAGATAGATTTTTTAATTTACTTATTTCACAACTCACGAGAGTATGTTAAAGTCAAGCATTTGAACGGGTTATGAGACTCATCTTTCTCCTAATTCAAACACTCTTAAATTTAACTCAAGTGTCAAGTATCTAAATAAATTTAAATTATCTTCCCTCGTTTTAAGTCTTCGAGAAATTAAATTCATCTTGCGCTCCTTCTCCTTTGTCGTTTTACTTAATCGTATCCGCGCACACCGATACAGCAGCGGAAACGTCACTGTCGATGAATCTAAAATGGTGTGTGCCTTTCCCGTCAGTGATTTAGAAAGATCCTCGGTAATCTCAGAACGCGCGCTGGTAATCATCTCGCGCGCAGAAAACGAGGGTCGTGAAGAGACGCGGAAAGAAATATTCGGTGATGATTCTTTGGCCGCAGCCCCTTCAAATCGCGTTTTCCGTGCCGAACTTGGCCATTATCGCGGTGGTGCGGAGTGTGCGATAGCAGGGTGCCGAAAAATATGTTCCAACTTTTTATCTTGTATCTGCACCACCGCCTCGGTGCAGAACTGAGCGTTCTGTTAATTTGCGAAGTTGTAACTCCCATAATCGCTTCAAGAGTCCGATACGTTTGGTCACGAAAGCGGATTTCGGAAAGAAAAAGACAATATATTAGAAGAAAGCCTTATTCTTTAATTTTGTAAATTATTTTTTTTAGTATAATATTTCTTATATTTTTTAATATCCTTGCTGGAGAATTTTAATAATCGTTACACGTCTGTTTGTAATTTCTCTTACTCTTACTATTTTATTCTGTAATTATACCTACACATATTTTTAAATATTCTTGATATCTTATAATTTCGAATACATACTATTATAAAAGAGAATAGCATATATATCAAGTTAGTAATAAACAGACGTTACTGCGGCAAGACTTAATCGACTTAACAATACGAGAAATCGCTAACGCGAAATGCAATACGAAGCCGTCATGATGAAAAAGAACCATCGAGAGAAACTGGTTTCGCTTCTTCAAGGGTTGCCCTTCGGATGAATCTTATCTTTCGACGAGAGCTGTCAAAGACGAAACGGCATGACGCTTCCGTCGTGCGGGAAGATAACCGGAAGCCCGATAGGTTCTGCACCAGAAATGAGAAATGTCTTTGCGGTTGCAGAGATTAAAGATTTCGCGGATGAGTAGTTGCCACTTCTTCCATTTCTTTTTTCGCATTCCTTGCGATAAATTTTTAACATATTTTGTAACCAATGTAAAAATTTAGTAAAAAACAATAAAAAAAATTCTTTTCGAATTTTATTTCGTTATTATTAATATATTAAAGATAGAAGTTATAATATATTTTTTATAATCGATTTTCCGATTCTATTCCTAAGGAAAAATAAAAGTTTAATTAATTCTCCCACTTAGTACATACTTCAGTTTATGGATAAACGATCTTAAATTGTAAAATAAATCCCAAACGAACACTTTTATGATCAAACAACGAGTGTATCACGGAGACGCGTCGAGACAACGCGTCGGTAATAAACAGAGCGAGTAATACGATGTCTCTGCGATTAAATCCTACGGCGTAAAAGCCCACCTTAAACCAGCTGATCCCGGTACAAAGACGACGTAAGGACGGGGGGCGCCTTAATGAAAACTATACGTCCCTAGATTAAGGTGGACGTTGGTCAGCCTTCGGACCCGCCAGATACGACCTGTCTTATGCAACGTAGGGAATGGGTTCTATGATGTCCGGCGTATTAGATGGAAGTTTCGGCCATTAATACCTAATATCATGCCGCCGGCAGTAAATCCTTTGTTGGTCACCTTTGACGGGGACTTAACGCCTTGCATCAAGAGATATTCGACCTATCTATCAATTCGGGTACAATCCATATTGCATTTTGATTAGCTTATCACGTTCGTATATAAGAAGTGTAATTTCAATATCATTTTACTCTTATAAATAAATACTATATACAGAGATATTACTCTATAATAGTACATCTTATATGAATTTCCAATTGAACTTTTTCCAAACGAAAATAAAATTATTGTTTTTTACCGCAAAAAAACTTAAAACTTTAGAACTTTGAATATCTTTTCATAATTAAATGTTAAACTAAATTATCATTATTTTGTTAAATATATAACTGACTTTCAAAAATAATCGTGCGGCAAAAATAGTATATTGAATAATATTTAATGTCAGTTTTAATTTATTTAATCAATATGTTTGCTCATGGCTTTTACATAATTGCAATCTTGACTTTCTATGAATTAAAAAAAAACCACTTGGTCTTGCAACCAATAATATAAAAAATACACCCACTACATTCCAATTTAAAACTTGAAAAAGTCACGCTTATCGTGTAATTTATTAAATTTGCTCACCGGTGTTGACTCGGAATGAAGTCGTTTGGATCGTTAGACTAAATTAAAAAAAGAATACAATTAATTTGCGCTCCAATTATCGCGCTTGACCTTTCATTGTCCGTTTATTTTTCTTTATTTCTAATTTTAACCTAAATTTCTGTTAAAATTATAAAATATACATCGTTAGAGCATCCGTAATAGTTGAATTTGTGTTTCTTCTATTGTGTCGCCATTTTTTAAATACCTTTATTACAGATACACATTTTGTGTTGACATACTTGACATCGACTGGTCCACTGATATCGTAACAAAAATACACACTTCCCGGCGCGAACAATGCGGGATATGATAAATAGCAAGTTCAATAATCTCATCGAAAATTTGGTGATTCCCTTTAACGGATAAATACAAGCACCATACAACCAGTGGAATTGTGTGGGCGAAACTTTCCCCACGTCTTCCCCTCCTCTATAGTCTTTCTTTTACCATCCCTCTCTCTTTCTCTCTCTCTCTTCCTTCTCGCACTCCATTTCCTCGGTTTCGCAGAAGTCTGGGATTATGATCTGGAGTGGGATAGACTCCCGGACTTAAGTCAGGGTTACACAAGGATCGCAGCTATTGTGCCATCGCACAGGTCCCATTGTCTCGGGATAGACGAGTGGATCTGCATATGCTTAGCGCCGGAGTTAAACTTCTCTCTCTCTCTCTTCCTTTTGCGCTTTACGTAACTCTCTCTCTCTCTCTTTCTCTCTCAGTCTTCTCTCGGCGATCTTCAATGCGCGCTCCGCGAATCATCCTGCCCCTCGAATTTGGATGCCGAAACGCCGAAGACTATACCTATTGTCAGACGGATGTACAGAAACTAATGCTTCAGCTGAAGCTACGAAATGATTTGAGGCACTCGTGGACTCACGAAGCCTTCGTGGAAATATCTCTCTCACTCTCTTTGGATTTCAAATTAAATTAATCAAATTTGTTACAAGGTTTCGCGAAATCGTCAAATAATTTATACCTGATAATTTAAAGAGTATGCACGAATCCTTACGCATTCAGAAAAAAGCATAAGGATTCATGAAAAAAAATGTGTAATCAAAATTGATAAAAGAAATAAAACAATCACGTGTTAGAAATTAAAGATTTTTTAAATTAAAGACAGATGTAATTGATGAAAAATTATATATCTTATATTAGTTAAAATTCTAAAGACGATTATGGAATTTTTAATGAGAGATTTTATTCATTACGTATACAATTAATTGTCACTTAAAGTCGTAAAATGACGCAATTGTTAGTTAATTTGTTACCCGTAGTAAATTCGTTATCCTATTGTTATCCATAATGAGAACGGATTGTCGAGTACGTTACTTCATGCAAACGCTTTTGTCTGTCGCAGCGAAAAATCTACCGGTGCATTGTGTGGTGGAGACGATTCACAATATCGTGGAAAGCCATGTGAGCAACAGCCGTGAAAAATGGCGAAGTCCCCAAGTGGAGACAGATTCTTACGTTATTATTCCGGTAGCTATGCCCTTTCAGGTAAGAATAATTTCTTTTACTTTATATATTTTATTTTTATATGATATATTGTTGCTATCTATTGATACGTTGTAACATAAATGGTTGTAGTTAAAAAATTGAAAAGATCATTTAGAGTATAATTTGCTATTTTCAAAAATTAAATTTTTGCGACAGAGCGATAAGAAATTTATACTATTTAAAGAAAGTAACAAACGTCAAATTAATTTAGAAGAAGCATTAATTTAAAAAAAAGCATTAAGCCCTTCTCTAAAAATGTGATGTATTATTATTCGTATAAATTAGAAAGTTTTAAAAAAAGGAAGAAAATTTCTTGAACTAAAATTATTATAAATATTTATATATAAAAATATATATCTTGATAATAGTTTCGTTTTTTTGCTGATAGGATTTGGTGGGCGAGGCACTCGTTCGTCTAGGATACTCCAGCGATCTGATACCCAGTGCTAGAGGGAGCATCGTTATACGTAACTGGAAGCCTCTGCCAATGGAGAAAGTTGCCGATGGACCATTACTGACAGTAGGAGATATTTTAGCCGAATTGACGTCGGTGGCGACCCTGAAGATTCAGGTGTACAGGTCCAGGCCGCCACCTCCCAGTCCGGCAGCTGAAGTTAGAAATAAATTGCTAAGGTTGCTCTTGTTGCACAGCCACACGCTTCTCGTCTCTGCTGGGTGTCCTTTGGACGAGGTAAGGTGTCTCGAGCTTTTAGGTGTCAAAATTTACCATTTTTCAATATTTGGAAAAAGGAACGCACTTAGTTGCATCATATTTAACTTAATAAGCACTTTCTTATGTACATATATTATTGATCTATGTTTTTTGTTCCTGCACTAAACTGAACTAGAACTCTCTTTCTCACTTTTGACAAATATCAAACATATACCTATCTCACTTTAAATTCTAAAAATGTACACTAGTTCAGCCACAGAAAACAGACCTTATAACTTGCTATTAGGATGTTCTTCTTTGTTCGGCTTTTCTCCAAAGTATCGAAACTTTGCTTCTCCTAGAATTCTTGAGGCAGACTGATGTATCAGTGCGAGATTCTGAGCTTTTCGCTCTACCCCGCCTGGGGTAGTTTTTGTTTTAAATTTCGACATTTTCTTGTTGATTTGGAAGGTTGCTTTGGCATTGAAACGCCACACTTGCCATTACGTGTTTTATTTTTGTTTTACCGCTACAAGTCAGTACGAATTACGAAAGTTTTCGTAAATATGGGATTTAAACTCGCATCACCTGTCGATTACGAGTCCATCGCTCTTACATGGAGCCATACGGCAACCCAGCGTTCATAATGTATGAATATAATAGCGAGATTATATAATAAATTTATTCTGAATGTTGGTATGGAAAGAACAATTTTGTTGTAAGATCTAAAATTTTACTGGATAGAGATCTGTGAAAATAATATATTAGATCATTAAAATAATTTTGTTGTTTTCAAATTGGTTGCTAGAATATTGAAATTTTTACCATTGTTTATCGTTATTTAATTAATTTCCAGTGTAACTTTTTTGATAATTCCAAAAAAATTATTTTCAGATCTGTATTCAACAAAATTTTAGATTTTTCAACAAAATCATTTTTTCTTATTCTTTGCATCTAACGTATCACGCCTTCTTTATTTTCGTTAATACCTCGGTGTTGGTAAAAATAAAAGTGCAAAAAAAAGATTATAGAAAAAGGAAAAATATATATTGTATATATATACAAAGGTGTGTTTATTTAAAGAACGAGGTTAAATAATGGCGCGACGTACCAAGAGAATTTAAGGGCCATTCAAGGGGGGATCGGAATATAGTAGAATATAGTAGTAAGGCAACCGCTTAAAAATGTATAAAATGTAAATCTAGCCAAAGAGTGTTTGTCGTCGGGGCACTTAATCTCATTAAGAAGTCCTCCGGCTCGGTACTCTTGTACCTTCCGTAAGAACGGCAAGTGGTAATCTTTGGTAAATTCTTGCTCGCAGCTCGCTGATCCTCACCTTGAATAAATGCTTTCTTGGTTTCAAATCACTAGTCGAGAAGTCACCGCGCTTTTGGTCGCTTTCATTCCCGCGCGAATCGAAACGTTCGAATAACGAAGCTTTCTCGAATCCCAATATTCATCTTACTCTGGAATATTTACGTACATTTGTAATCATTATTTTAATCACGCCAATTTTTAATTGATTTTTATTTACCTCTTTCTTAAAGTAGCAAAAACCGATTTTACTGAAGTTATATCTTAATCAAGAGATCTTAATGAAACAGACAACGGCAATTAACTTCAAAGAATTTTATCACAATGTCAATATTTCACTGACGATTCAACAATTTTGCGTAAACGATTCTACAAATTTTATTAACTAGTGGCTCTCATTCTTTAGCCCCAGCGACAAAACTGATTAACATAATCCCGCGACTATTTCAGCTAACTGTGAAATTTCTTTTCGCAATGACTTCTCGAGAGGTTTATCCCGGTCGCGCGATTCTCTCCCTGAAGACTTCGTTCCCCGAAGATTGAAATAGACGCGCGATTTTTCGGGTTGGTCTGCACGCGTAAACGTGCCCTTCCGACAGCGGAAGATCTCGTAGCGTGTGATAGGATTACCCTTTACTCAACCAAATTCACAGCCTTCATCAAAAGCCCCCTCGATATCGGTATCGGGGGGGAGAGAGGAGAAGTACCCTACCTCCTCCGAGCCGGCATTATCTAAGTGCACTCTCTTTGAAGATCCCGCTACCCGCCCATCCCCGAACTTTAATGCCGCTCACGGTGGTCTATGATTACCAATTTTCCCTGGCAAACGTTTCCTGCTTGAGTTTCGTAGCCCGACGGCTAATGGCGAACCGCTGTGATGGAGAACCGACGTCTCTCGCATAGATTTGGCTTAATCTGACGATGATGCACGAAGACGTGCTGCCAAATATCTCTCTTCCTCGCTTCTCTTTACGTACGATATTCCACAATAATGGTATCTTTTTTAGACGCGATTCTAAATTATTCTATCTCTCGCGTTTATGTTTTATCACTTTAAAAAACTTTTAAGGTTCAGAGATCTTTCGTTAGCCACGAATTTTTTTGCGAATGTAAGGGATCTTTTTTTAAAGAGAAAATTGAATGAGATATTATCTGGAGAAAACGCTTTTATTAATTATCTTTAATATTAAATTTTAAGTGAAATTTTAGAGATAAAAGTTTAAATTAAATGTCTATTAATAAAGCTGTAAATGATAAAAATTTTTGTTATTTTTTGCGTTTCGTAAATTCAATTTGCTTTTATCTTGATGCAACAATATTTATCACGAGATTGGTACCAGTTATTTCTGGTATTCGTGATTCAGATGAAGTGCACAATTTGTGGCATTCGGATATATCAAAATTGCTTTCGTTACAGAGTGATTAGAATTTTAAACATGCACAGTTATACAAACGAAGAACCTTAAAGCATATGATTTTTAAAAAAGTACTCGGCGCTCGTATTTCTTTTGGGATAATGGAAAGATTCGGAAAGGTAATAAATACTTTTCAAGAGGCTCGAGTATGAAATTCGCATTAATTGGGATCTGCAAACATAAATCATTAGTGTCAACGCGATTTCAGACAATAAAAAGCAACAAAATCTGTTTTGAATCCCATTTAGTTTGAAATGTAGAACAATGATATTAACAGACGTCGCTCTGATATATCAGGATTAGGGCTTAACTGTATTTATAGCGCGGCAGCGGCATTTGTGATTTATTTATATATTTTTGCAAAATTCCTTTACGTATATCCCAAAATCTGGTTTACATTTTTATAAATATATGTACATAATATATTTATGTAAAAAGAAAGATTACGTTGACTTTGATAAAGATTTGTCGATTGTAGCATCCACTTCTTTAACAAAATAAAATTCGTGATAAAGTTGTGTAAGAATTGCGATAAATATAGCAGCGTACCTTCATAAAAGTTTAATAAAAAAAAAAAAACTATGGACAATTTTTATATATTAATAGTTAAGAGATAGAATAACTGGTTATTGAATCAATTTCTTTCAAAACATCACGATTATGGGCATTCAAAACGTTGATAATTGTGATATTTTCAAAGATAATGTTCAAAAGTCATAGCGATAATTCTTGCGCGTCACGAATTTCGCCAACTTATTGCAATCTCGCGGATTGTTTGATCTCTGGGTCTCGTGATCGCGATTGATTTACCACCGTTCTACGGATCAGCCGATTGCTGTGCGCAATTACTCTTAAATAATAAATACGTGTAAATCAGGCTTTTGAATCGCGGTGCAATGTTGTCAGATAAGCCGGCCGCCCCGCTTTCGACGGCGCAACCACTGTTTGCCGAACGATTTCTGAAATCTTGAGAACGCCTGTCAAGACTCGCGCCTCACCTGCCTACCTGGAGTGATTAAGTGCGGTGTCGTAAAACTGAGGCGGATGAGAATTCGAGGAGGTGACTAGCGAGAAGCCGTCGCGGCCGGATAATTGTCGTCTTGGTAGTATCTGACGCTACCAAAGTGCCAGGGATACGCGACGGATTACCGCGTTATTAAAGTGGCGTCGAGCGCCTGATCTTCCAGCCCAGAGATATTATATATTTGTTCTTATAAATCATCGGACAGATAAGGTGCACGTACCGCTTCCTGAGCGAAATTTTCCGTAATCTTCCGTCTTAATGCCGTGACGTCGATGACGCTGAACGACGTCACTTTGTAACGCCAGCCCGCGTCAACAACCAGCCAAAGAGAAATCGATTGTCAAAAGAATTTAAATTTACATAATAAATTCATCTCGGTAGTTTAGATTCGATTTCAGTATTTACCTCTTACAAAAACAATGCAATATGATACTAAAGATCGCATTGCACGACTACGTGACTAGTCTTTTTAATAACGAATTTTAAATATTATCTATAATACGAAAAGGCGAAATGAAAAACAAGAATGAGTTCACACATTTAATCGTCTCATTAATCATAATTATTAATTAAACTTTTACTTTTTACAAGATTTGTTATTATTTGTCATAGTAGTGATCATGGTAGAGAGTTGCGTGGATGCTCTCTGTATTAAAATCCAAGTTTAAATCTATCAAAACATACATATAGGATTTTATTTGATCAACCTCTCGGAAAACAGTAATAAACCAAGAGTATTTTGCCATGATAGTCTCTTCTAACACAACTATTCTATACCGGCGTTAAAAATTAGAAGTCCCAAATCAGTAGATATCTGCGAAAGAGGTCACCACGTTTTTAATATAAGACGACTCGAGAGAGAGGTTATTCGCAATTAAATAAACGCTATTAAATAGCAGATGATACAATTGTAAGATCTCTGAAAAAAGATCACGTTGCTTTCTTCTTGCAGATGACCCTGCTATCCCTCTGCCGAGGCGGCAATGACTTATCGGAAGAGACAAAGAGAAATTTCGAAACGTGGCTGCAGCAACAACAGATAGGTCTCGGTATGAACCCAATAGCACCAACTTCCAATCACCATCATCACACGCAAAGTCCGCAACCCGACAGCGGTGGTACGATCGCTCCCGGCGGTGGTCCGATCGGACCGCCGCATCCGGCACTTCTTCAGTATTCGCACAAAACCAGGATGAGAACCAGCTTCGACTCCGAGCTCGAGTTGCCGCGTCTTCAACGTTGGTTTGCTGAGAATCAACATCCGTCGCGCGAACAGATACAGCACTACGTCGCGGAATTGAATTCCCTGGAGTCGCGCCGTGGCAGAAAACCGCTGGACGCGAATAACGTCGTGTACTGGTTCAAGAATGCCAGAGCAGCACAGAAGAGGGCCAGCATGAATGGCTGCAGTCCACCTGGACTTAGCCCGAGAGGCGCCAGCATCGTCAGCGAAGACTGCACGGACGAAGAAGAGGACACTAGGCATCAGGTACGTATCGTCTTGTGAAAGAAGAACTGAAAATTGTAATATTGAATTAATTGTAATATTAAGAGACATCGAAGATTAAATATTGCATTTTAAAAAAAAAGATGGTTTTCCTTGAAATCTTTTCAATAGAAACATCAAATGTGATAAATAGCAAAAAATAAAAATTGGCGATTTCCGGAAAATTCTACATAAGATCTTAATGCTTATGGTATTTGATGGACTCCAAAACCCGAAAGAAATGAGATTCTTAATCGCTGCTTTCAGTCGACATCAGGGTCACCCTGTCCACCGAACAGTCCGCCTGTCGGTCCCCTGTCCTTGACTACGAGACCCGAGGATCAGCAGCAGCCGCCGACGTCTACTCCGTCCTCGGTAAAGCAAGAAGATGCGAGAGTTTCCTCTGGTTCCGAGGACGACGAGACCAGGCATACAGGCCCTATTCCGCCAGGATTTTCCTTGGTACCCAGCCCCATGTTCGGTCACGGTATAATGTACATGTCACATTATTTGCCGCCGCGCGGACCAGCCGGTTGTCCCACCAGCATGCTGGCCGATGAGAGAAGGAAGAGGAACCGGACGTTCATCGATCCCGTGACGGAAGTGCCGAGATTAGAGTATTGGTTCAAGCGGAGCACTCATCCAAGTCACGCGGTACGTATTATAAATCGATCAAGTACATGTATGTCGTTATCGCACTAATTTGTCCTTTATTCGATGAATATTAGCGTGTTATGAGAAGTTTCTGTAGATTATAATAGCGTATTTGTAGATATAATTACATTGAACGAAATATTTCTGTCATAAATAAAATTTTATTCATTTCAAATGTCTTATACATCAAACATTTATGCACGGAAGCACTGTTTTATGTGTGTTAGTAAATTTCATGAATTAGCAAGGAATGCATAATTAGTGGACATTTAAATTTTCTTGCTTAGAATTTTTTAAAAACGAATCCATTAAAAGCTCAACTGTTTCGAGACCATATTGCTTGTTTAATATAATGTCAAAGGCACGCAAGAGAAATGACACGCAATAAATTAATTGCTGGTAGCTTTATTTTTTTAGTTTTCCTTAAAAATATAATAATTTCATAATTGTGAAATTTGTAAAATATACAACAAACTGAAGTGGAAGTATAAAATAATTCCTGAATTCTAAAAGTAATGATACATCTTTTAGTTATAAAGTACCACCGCTAGGCCTGTATTCTGTAGCTCGTTATGTGTTCATAATGACAATTTTTTGCGCAGTTTTTTTGCTATATAAAATATCCGCGCAATTATCGTTATGAACTTATAACGATTCATAATGAGTTACAGAATACAGGTCCTGGACAGATATTTACCGTATATTTTAGAGAGTTCTAGATATTACAAAATTATTATATTTTTAAAGAAAAACAATTAAGTTGCACGTGGCAATTAATTTAGCAATTAATTTAGTGCATGTCATTTTTCGTCTTCAACGTTATAAATTGATATGGCGCTTCAAGGTAGCTGAAGTTGCCGTGGAAAATTTTTCATTTGCATTTTTCATAAGAAATTCGTGAACACGTTGAACACGATTTTACGATCGGTCCATAGCTCATTCTGTCGTACACGGAGGAGCTGAACAAGATGCCCTATCGCCAGAAGTTTCCACGTCTGGAGCCGAAGAACGTGCAATTCTGGTTCAAGAACCGCAGAGCCAAGAATAAGCGGCTGAAGATGGCTCTGTTCGAGGGCGAGTCGCCGCAACAGCATCCATATCACGCCGACTAGTTAATTTCCTTAAATAACATTGACTAGAGAAGCGCTAGAGAGGCTTGGCCTTCGCAGCACGGAAATAAAAGGAAATCGTTAATCGACTTGTTACTCCTTACTATCGTTGACACGCGGTTTTAAACGTTTAACGGCCGCACATTCATTGTAATTATCACGTAACAATTAATATAATTATTATGGACTTTCATGAGTGTAAATACGAGGTGATGTCAAATAAAAAGTATACGTCACGATAAAACAATATTATTAAGTATCTGCCCTCTGCGCCAAGTACAAATTGGCTGAACGTATTGATATAAAAATGTGATGATGATATTCCCAGGCGATTAATATTTATGGTTAATTTATGTATTGATTATGCTTCAATATACAAACAATATTGGAAGAATAGGAATAAATATGGATCGTCTATACGAACCTATATAAACATTATATCAATTTAATATAGTTCTTCTTCTAATTTTTTATTGAGTTCATTTATCGAATTAACAAAATATTTTATTATTTTTTAATCAATGTTCAGAGAAACATATAACAAATTTCTTTCTCGAAGAATTGCTGAATGAATTTTACAGCTCGTCGTTTCACAAGGAGAATGAACCGAAAGGTAAGAGCTTTCAGAGCGATTCATCCGTTCGCCTTGGGCGAGTACAATAAATCGCCAAACGGTGTTTCGTGAGTTTCATAGAGCTTGTAATAACACATATATGTCTAAATGGACGAGACGGTGCGTTCACACGTGTGTGCAATAGAAGCGCGCACAACGATACTGTCTCCAAGTCTACGAATGCACAAAGCAGCCGCCCCGACCGAAATCTCGCAGCTAAGATAAGACAGCCGAGCTGTCATCGAGTCAACCCTAACTCAAACGTCACAATAGTCAATGAGTCTTTCTCTAAAAGCGGCATACTATCTATCTACGGCGCTACTCGCGTTTCGCGTCGTTCGCGAGAGTTTCAGGGACAGTAAGACTGCGGATGCGGCAGGGAATGACAAAGAGACCGGATGAAACGGAAGCACAATATATTGACGTGTAGTAAAAAAAATGTCCGCTGAATACAGAGATAGCCAATGACCTTTTCCGTTGCGCGTATTTTCATTGACGGCTCGTATCTTTTTTTTTTTGCATTACGGAAGGAAAACTTATTTCATATCATTAAATTTCCGCTGTCATTGATAAGCGTCATTTCAATGAGCAGTTAATCGCTATTAGAGTACATGTAATATAAGTATTCTGCTAATAGACTCGTACAGGATAAAATGATTATATATATTGAGCAGGATTTTTACAGTAGAGTGCGGATTTTCGAAACGCACTTTGATTGCGTAGCAAAATGGAGGACTTTTATACGTTTAAGTACGTAGCAATGCGCAAAGACGATACCGAGGGGATATCAGCTACGACACGCGCACAGGATCTGTCGTCCTGATGGGCCCGCGCCGGGGAGGGGGGTCCTGGATTTAATGAGGATAGGCGGATTTGTCCAATTAAAACGTCTTACAAGGATCCATTCGGGTCGACGTTCATTCGCAAAACATCGAATCTAGACTTTGCCGCAGCAGCCTCTTCTTATCCCCGCGCTATATAGGTATATCTACCTACCGTTATCCCTCTCGTTATCGTTATCGGGCTCCGCCTTCCGTACCGAGCCGCGACTCGAGAAGCAACGGCGGAGCAGACAAGGATTTATGGAAGTTGTTTCAAGTGCCGTCGGTATCCGCGAATGTGTCGTGCAGATTCTACCGCGTCATCAGGCAAAACACAACTCATGATCGAAGGTAAGTGGATCGGCGTAATGTCGTTAATAGTCTATCAAAAGTGACGACGATTTATAAATCACAATGTTGGGGTGCAAAAGAAAAATTATTTTGTTTCGATGCGTTACAGAGTTACACAATTCAAGTCTACAGCATATACGATGTATTTCTTTGCTAGATTGTTTGCGTTTTATTGAATTACTAGATTTTGTGTTCTACGTGATACGATTCTAGTGATTTATTAAAACGCAAGAAATTCAGTAGGAAAAAATACATTCTATAGCATAGATTTAAACATGAATTGTGAAGAATAACGTACTCTCTTTTAAAATGAATTGTCACTCTGAAGAGTAAAATCTCACTCACTTAAAGATCGAAAATTAAGGAAAATTAATTCTTTTTAAATAGTTTTTAAAGTGAAATTCCACTCCAAAGAATTTAGAGAGTAGAATACACATAATATCGAAATTAATAAAATCACTGCGTTAGCTGGCTTTTTGATTCGATCAGATTTTAATTTTAATAAGTATATATAATATGTTACAAATTTATTTTTTAATATATATTTAATACTGTTTTATACAAAATGTCGTTCTATTATTGTTTATAAAATATTCATATATAATTTTTTTAAATCTTTTTAAACTTGTGCAAAATTTTATTTCGCTAAATATCAAATTTGACGTGTAAAACAATCATCAAAAGTTTCCTGGAATTTCGTTTATTCAAACGAACATTGAGGATTTTCAATCGGAAGAAAGCGAAAAAGAGCTGGTTGGTCGATCGGATAAGAAAATTGCTGCTGGTCCGAAGAGTATGAAGAACTAAGAAGGAACAGTGAAATGGAGAAGAGAAGAGGAAGCAACGTCTTATGAAAATCTGAAAGTCAGCAGCCTGTAGGATCATCCCTTTATCTGATCTTACGTAATTTATCAGGCGCAGACAATTTAGATTACACCATTCGTACTAAATCGTCATGAAAAATGGCCAGTTTTCAAATTAGCTTCTTACCTTTATCTCGACGTATTGCATATATAGGATATCTATCAAAATTTTTACTATGAAACATATCTGATAATATATTGATTTGCTGTTGTATCACTAAAATATTCTTTGATAAATTTTAAAAATATTTTAATGTATATCCACATATAAAATCTTTTTTGAAAAATGAAAGATAACAATATTGTTAATAAGAACGACATATAATAGTAATTAAATTAAAGTGTAATTAAAATTTAAGCTTGCACACGATGCTTCTTTTCCTGCTAGATTGCTTGCGTTTTAATAAATTACTTGAATTGAACTACATAGAACGCAGAATTTCCAGTAATTTACTAAAACGCAAGCAATCCAGGAAAACGTGCATCGTGTATCGCAAGCTTTAGTCTCGCTAAAATAATTAAAATTATGAAAGAATCTATTTTAAAATTGCGAGAAAATGTCTCGTCATATTCTGGAAAAATGCAAGGTAATATAAAAGTGTGTACAAAAGTACATACGAATAATCGTTATAATAAGCGATAATAAGGAATAAATCCTGATGCGAGTTACGGTAACAAACGAGCTGTAGATGGGTGACAGCCGACAAATTGCGAACGATCGAAGGGAATTTAGAATCGTTTATGACCGACGCGAAGTGGCGCGATATAACGCGAGCTAAACATTGCCCTTTGCATTCCCACACGACCGTGTACACGAAAAGTATCCACGAGACGTGGGTACACGTCGCTCCAAAGGAGCATTGTGTATGCTTTGGCATTCAGAGGACGTTCTTATCTGCCTATCCGGAGAGCTGTCAGCAAAGTTCCTGAATAATAACAGAGAGCTTGTGGAAGAGAAAGAGAGAGAGAGAGGAGAAGTTATAGGTAGAAAGAGAAAGAGAGAAAGGGAGGAAGGAGGAGAGAAGGCAAAGATAGAAACGGTGAGAGAGACAGTGAGAGGGAGAGCCGCGCGGTTCTGCTATCAGCCGCAGCTAGGATATGCCTAACTATTCTGTTTCCATGCGGCTGCCGGACGTTTCGCCGTAGATAATGTTGGCCAGGATGGTTAGATTGTTGGATGCGATTGATAAGAACCGAAAATGCCCTCCGCCGCTGAATCGGATTGTAACAAACGCGCGTAGAGCGTGCCGACTCTACAAGAACGTCACGGCGCGGCGGCGTCGCGTTCCTATTAATTATTCATTCACAGCCGCGAATGTAAGTGGTATCTCGTAAGCGCAACTTTTCCTATAAAAATACGTAGTTACTAAAACATATGTCGTAAATGTCAGTAAGGTATGCGGTAACTCATTGCTTATACATTCCTCGAATAGATAAACGTAATTTGCGTTCGTGAAGATGAATAATCACAACAAGATGAAGACGCACGAACTTATTACAGTAACAGTTTATAAATTTTAATTAATGATATGTAAAGATATATGTAGAGATAAATTTCATAGAAATATAGCTGTAAAATCTTTTGAGATGTTAAGATCGTAAACAATCAGAATCCCCCGAACAAATTCTATGCTTATTAAGAAATTTGCGTAAATGAAATGACATTAATATGTGACAAATGAGAAAGGATTTCCTCTCCGAGTTAGGCGGAAGAAACAACGGTAAAATAGTTAGAAAGGAGACTAGAGAGCGGTTTGGATGAAGTCGAGGGATAGCAGAGGGGTTTGAGAATTCGAGAGCTCGCAAATTAGCCGCAGGATTGGCCTCATAATCCTTAAGGGATGCTATGGTCGACGACGCGGCTTCCATCTCCTTGTCCCGTTCTCATTTCTCCCTCTTTCTTTCTCAGCTTTCTTACTCTTACTATTTCTTTCTCTTCTCGTCGAGGGTAGTTGATGAGGTCATATAAACGAACTCTGCTTTTTCCCCTTCTTATTCTTTAATCCTACCCCTCCCTGCACTCGCGCGGCTATATACTAAAAATTACGAGTAGCGAAGAAGAAGACGACCGGCTTGAAGACCAACGATTGAAAGTAATGAGCCGTAGAAGGAAAATCACCAAGGGGTAGGCCGTATTCTCCGCTGCTAGTAATCCGATAGTCGGATAATTAATCCCGTTAATTTATCGGCACGGACTCCTGACGATGCGTTCGTGCGTGTGGAGAAAGAATAACGCAAACGCAAACGTTTTTTCTCATTTATGAGAAATAAAATATAGCCGTAATGTCTGGCCGAGGACGTTTATTGATCGTGATTCTAATGAAGATGTTCAAAAAATTGCGTGCAATTAGTTAAAGTAGAACGTCCAAATGAACATATTTTTAGAAACGTTTTTTTTATACTTACTTTTTTATATTTACGCTCTAAAATGTTTAAAAAAACGTGCTACATCAAATAAAGTTTTAACTTTTTTGCGGCAGAAGGGATGGAAAAGTTAGCGTAGAATTTTTTTATACGCGTCTTAAAACCCGAAAGCAATTATAATAACAGAGTCAATATCGATCTTAATTACATGAAAGCTTAA